TCAAAGGTTTGTAATTTCGCCATTACATACACCTTGTTATCTGAAAAAGACGTAAGCAAAAAATATGGTCAGTAATACGTGAGAACTTCTACTCAACGTTTGCGCCGAATTTTTCGTTGTGCTTGATTGCACAGCAACAAGGAGTAACAAATAATCGTTATTTAAAAAAATATTTAAAGATAATTTATTTATCTAATTCAGTTACAAATATCAAAGTTACATGTAACATTTTACTTATGTATATTAAAATATAAATACGAATGATGAAATCGTATGGCATCGTCTTGATGTAATTAAATAAGAGGAATTAATAGCTTCAGCGATATTTCAGAAAATTTTTTTTTCATATTAAAACTATTCCTACATGTAAATTCCTTTTGTCAAAAAATTTAGAAAATACATATAATAAAATATAATAATTGAGCAAATACATAAAACATTTCATTCAATTTTGTGCAATCACTTCATCTTTGTAGAAATGGTATCTATATCGTAATTTAAAATGTGTCTTCGTAAATTAAGAATATTAGAATGAAAAATATAGCAGAGACAATTACAACAATTAAACAATTGTACAATAATAGAATATCAGTCAATTATTTGCACACAGATTCACTTTAATTACAGCAAGATGATCAAAAATTAAACGATATTAAAAAATTTTAAAACACAGTACTCATCAACATTAAATTTATTTGTGATTTTACTTAAAATCCCTTAAATATTGTTTTAAAAATATTGGAAACATGAGGAAGGAATTCAGTAAAAAAAGGAAGAACTACATTAAGACAATGAACTGATTTAAACTAAGATAATGTTAGTAATATTAATCGAAAAATATATCATCGCAGAAATATTACAAGTACATAAAATGTAGAGATATATACATAGTATACGAAACCCAGAATTTTTTGGTGTGATACAGTGTAATAAAACATGACGAGGTATTGCACCGGTTTGCAAAATTTTTATTTGCAATATATTAATAATATATCCTAATTAAAATGCAATCTCTTAGTACATCCACATAGTATGTAAGGTTGTCTAGTACTAAAGAAAGGTTCATTCTTTCAATTTCTGCCAATATCGATACAACGCACGGTAGTGCCTTGATGCTTTCTGCGCACGTGCTTATAGACATCGGACGTCCATCTTGAGCGGAAATCACAGGTCGGGCATTTGAAGCGCGGATTCTGTTGGCACTCGTAACGCAGATGCCTCGTTAGCGAACCACGGTGTGTAAAGCAACTCCCGCAGTTGTTGGTACAGTGAAATTTTTTGCGCCAATTTGACGCTTGACTGCGGAACCGGGATCGATTGTTTCTCAACGAGACCGCAGGAAGCCAAACATAGTAAGGGTCAATGCCTGTAACAGAATACCCATTACTGATGGCGTGTCACTTATCGTTAATCAAGATATACAGTAGATAGACATTAGCATCATTGCTAGAAATTGATTATAAAATTATACGGATAATCTTAAACTACCATTCCGGAAAAAAAAAAACACTTTAGAACTAAATAACGTGAGGGTAATCGTAATTTGAAATTTATTCAGTTACAGCAAATTTATACAATATCAAATTTAATAAAAAATAATTTCATAAAAATACAAAAAAAAAACATTCTCTGTACGTATAATTCTTTCTTGTTGATAATTAATTTGTTCAGAATCCTACACTGAAAAAAAATCTTAATTTCAAAGAAATATCTCTTTGCTCGTATTCAAAAAAATTATTTCTTTAGATTAGAATGAAAATTTCTTTGAAAATAGAAGATATTGTATTTTTTTAAAAATTTTCATTGATTCAAAGAAATTTTTTTGAATACGAGCAAAGAGATATTTCTTTGAAATTAAGATTTTTTTTTATGTATTATTAAACACCATATTAATTGAAAGCAGATTCTCAACGACATATTTTATCGCCGTGTAAACAGATTATTCAATAAGCAAATGAAACAAATATAATTCTTGGGCAATTTAAAAAATAATTATATCGCATTATTTTCACCATTACATGCCTGCAATGTGATCGTAATTAATATACGCTTTCGATTTATTATAAACATCATATTAATTAAAAGTCGATTTTCTAACAATATATTTCATCGACATGTAAACAGAGTGTCCGAAGTAGAAACAAAATTTCTGAATAATAATTATATTATTTTGAAAAATAATTATATCACATTATTTTTCGATGTCCGCTTATATAATTAGTAATTTTTTTTCATATTTAAGTATAATGCAATGTGTGGCATTATGATAACAAAGAAAAATATATAAAACAAAATAAAGTATATAAAAGAGAATATAAAAAAATAAAATCTAGAAATACAACTTCTCTGAAAATGATTCATTAGAAATATTCGAGCAAAAATTATACAACCTGCGCTCATCAAATATAGTGAGTGCAAAAAGTATTTGTACAAAGAAAATATAATATTTTTTTAAAAAACTTTATTTTTAAAAAGTAAATATTAGCGAAAAATGAGACGTCAAATTGATGTCGAATCGATACAAAATACGATGATTTCAATATCAACGTTTAATTGACGATCATTTCTTGTTGGATAATTAACAATTTATTCATAAAGAATAAAATAGACTGTATATTTCTTAAAATTATATATATCAAAAAGATATATATTAATTATACAAAATATATCATCTGAAAAATAAGCGAAAATTAAAAATTGTATTGTTTGAATGCTCAAAAAGTATTCGTACAGACGAGAAAAATTAGCTTCTAAAATCTCTCTCATATATAAAGCTCGTTTGTTTATGTTAGAACAGAATTCATTGTATAAAATTGTTAATTAATGTTTATCTTCTACAAATAAGGCTTTTTTTATAACAAATTGCCTTGTACGAATACTGTTTGCTCTCACTGTAAATAAAAACAAAAATCTCTAAATATTATTCGTCTTTCGTTACATGTCGTTTGTGCACGTGATTATAAATGTAGAAAGCCGAGCTTGAATGGTAATTACAGAACGAACACTTGAAATGCTGTAGATAACGATCGTAGCATTCGTGCAAATGCCTCGCCATAGAAGCTACAGTTCCGAAAGAACGTCCGCAGTTATTCGAACAAAAGAACTTTTTGCGCAATAAGTGATTATGGTGCTGGAGTGGACGACTGTATTCCTGCGGGATCGGAGAAAGCCGAATGTAGCAGGGTTTAATGTCTGTAACAAAAGACTTATTATTTATAGGGACATAGTTTATCTATATTAATCAAAATGTGCATCAATTTAAATATCTTAATAAATAAAGATTTATACAATACTTTTTTACTAGTAATTAGCGTCTTTTAGCACGCTAGAAAACCAGCAGCTATAAAAATATAATTTTGTACATATAATGCTAGTAAAACTACACTTAAATCTATAATGTATAAATATAAATTTATAACTAATAATAATATGAAGAAGTCGCCACTGCTTCTACTAAATATCATTATTTTATACTAAAATGATAATTAAATTTGATACTATATCATGTCAAATATAACCATTGTTTTGGTATAAAATAATGATGTTGAGTTACTAATTGAGTAGGAGCAGCGACGACTCACCTTAAATTTGACACTATAGATTTAACAGTGCATTTTTAAATGTGAAGCGTCTCTTAATATATATATTCTTTTTTATTTACATAAATAATGTTATAAAACATAAAAACATTGTAATTATGTTGCAGTAATAACAAAAAAAAGAAAGAAAAGAAGATATTAAAGAATATGATTAAATAAAATATTTACAATAATGAAAAAAAATAAAATATAGGATTTCTCGATGTATTTAACAAATTGAAGACAAAAATGCATAGAGAAGTAGGAGTTAGCGTTGTACTTTGTGCGCAAATATAATAATAAAAAGTATAATAATTCATATCAAATGACAAATATTAATCTTCGTATGCGTTTCGACTTACTTCAAGTCATTCTCAACGAAATTGAGTATATTAATTCAATCTTGTACAAGACCATAGTGCCGTAGATGATTCGCATCAAACTTTTTTATTTATTATATTTGCGCAAAAAGTACCGTGCTGACTCCTATTTCCTTAGGTATTCTTGTTTTTAATTTGTAAACAGAATTTAAGTAAAAAATGGATTTTTAACAGAGAGACATTAAGTGCTTCAGCCACTTTATAAGAATTTGCTTCTAATAATGCTTCTAATAGTGCATAAAAATATGTGTATAATTGTACATAAATTTGAAAAACTGTTGCTTATATAGTTTTTAAAATCAATATTTCAAATATCTCTTTGTTTGTGATTGAAAGCAGCTAGTTGTAACCCACATAGCACTTTTAGAAGTAAGCTAGCAGACAATACAATGCTAGCGCGCTTGTAAAGTTGAAATATTTTAACTTCACTAGTGCGCCAGCTGAAAGAAGAAAGCTTATCAGCATTTTAAAATACATGACGCTTTTTTTACTAACAATTAACTGCAACTGTACTAACTGCTAGTAAAAAAGCATCATGTAAACTTTGCTTAAAAAAATTTGAGATAGTATGAGTTAGTAACTTTGGTCTTGAAAAACTGGTCTTGAAAAAATATTCACTAAGATCATAGAATAATATAGATAACTGAACACTTAAAATTTATTCAATTACATTAAATTTGCTGTATTAACTTCCACAATTATTTTAAAAATACAAAAAGATACTCTTTATGTGTAATGCTTCTCTGTTGGTATTTGTTTAATATAATATCATATTATAAGCATCATATTAATTGGCCGATTTCCTAATAATAAACATATTTTATCACATGTAAACGGATTGTCCGACATGCATTAATTTAAATACATTAATAAATGATTAAAGGGTATGAGTTACATTGGTAACTATGAGGAATCAGACTTCTAAAATTCGCCAGAATTACAGAACACAGATAGGTAAATGTTTAAAATTTATTCAGTTATACATCAAATTCGATACATTATCAAATTCTACATATATCACCAGGTATATTGCAAAAATAAATATATTATATAATGCATTTTATAAATAAGTAATTTCTCGAATATCCTGCGTCAGGAAACGTTAAGTATAATTTTTAAATTTAGTCTATGATTGATGATCAATATAATAGATATCAATTACATCGCCAACAGGCAAAAATTGCTAAATGAAAATAAATGTATAACAATAAATAACTAACAAATCGACACATGTGACATAAACGACTACGTAAAATAAATAAAGCATACTGATAAAAGAACAGATCAATGAATAATCATTCATTTGATTGATATCACAACTGCTTCGAGACTTCTTGTAGCTTTGTGGGTGATCTCTAATAAAAGGAAGGAAGGCTTGCAAAATTTGTATCGTTCATCTTGGCTGATGATCCTGTTTCGTGCTCATATCGAGAACGTAGACATTCTCGTTGGGATGTATCCTACGTATATGGGACCTCACGTTCGACGAATGTTTCGTACGATAAGAACAGTACGGACAGTTAAATCTCGGCAACTGACCACACTGGAACTTGAGGTGATTATACAAATTGTTCTTGCGCGTGAACGCGTTGCCGCACTTGTGGCAGGGGTAATTCCTGTTTTGCTGTGCTCCATCAGGATTGTAGACACATTGATTGGAATGCGCGTGAAATCGTTGCATGGCGACCGGTCGTATCTCTGGGAACAGAAAATTTCACAACGTAACTCGGGGCGAAAACTGAAACTTAAAACAATCTCGCGGGTTCCCGCATCGAAAAAAAATTAATATGCAGCAAAATGTGTTCAGCGTGGATGCACAACGTTTCGCGATCCATTTCTTCTTAGGTCATCCTTAGGATATGTCGAATAACAGATCTCTTAATTAACAGATCTAAATATAGAGATCTGTTACTTGTACAAAATCAATAAAATAAAAAAAGTAGGCTCTTTATTTTTTAGCCATTAATTTATTAATTTTTTTTATAAACACTACTATATAAGACTATTGACTATGCCACACATAAAAGGATATAGTGAAGTTCTAAATGTGAAGTTCTGTGTGAAAGCGTTATTTATTAGTATATTACAATATTTTAGTCAGGCTTACACAAAAAAAAAACATAAAAGACATAAAATATTCAAAAAATGCCATATTAGTTAGAAATTCAATTTTTCATTATTACATATATAAAATTTCATTCTCTTCAAATAAATTTTTGTATGTTTTCGTGTTCTGTATACATAGCACAAATTTTTTTTATGACGTTATGTAAAAAAATTATCATTATATAAAAAGAAATGATAAAATAATGCAATTAGAAAGAATTTGTATAAATGTAACATTAAAAAAATTTGAACAAATTATCTAAAATATTTTCACGTGTGTATAATAAATATGCTCTATATATTTTTAAACTAAAACTCTGAACGTTTCATTGTAATCGAGTACAAAATGCGCAACAGACGAAAAGAAATAAATATATAATTAGGCGCAATGTCAAGAAGAAAAACAGTAACCCAATCTCATTCGGAAATACATTTTAAAAGAGCATATTTTATAAGAACAACATCAGGCGTCGTCGCATAGACGACTCAAATAAATAACAAACACATCGACGATAAATGGACTTCAGACTTGGAAAAGATTTAAAAGAATTGCGGAATATCAGTCTTGTGTATATCCACTACGTAGACCCTGTTGCCAGGATGTATACGGCGTACGTGGGCACGCACGTTTGACGGATGCTTCGTCCTGTAGGCGCAGTAGGGACAATTGTACCTCGGCGGCTGACCACATTCAATCCTCCAGTGATATTGAAGATTGTGCTTCATGCTGAACACGCTGTTGCAATTGCCACAGGGAAACGATTTAGCGTTTTGTTCGCGTGATGAGGTGATGCTCTTGTTCGTGACCAACCGATTATAGTCTTTCCGCCACGTGCGTGTCGGCACCGACTCGGATGCTGTAAAAAAAAAAACACAGAACGTCTTCGTCATCCAGAGCCCGTGATGATTATAGCTAAATCACTATTTTGCCTTTATATCCATTTCAGTCGTCGAGAGAAAAAGAAAGAAAGAAAGAAAGAAAGAAAGAAAGAAAGAAAGAAAGAAAGATAGTGAGATAGAAAGGGACTGACAGCAGTCTTCTCGAGTGCTCGTAAACGATCAACAAAATAAACGTTAAATCTCTTGTTAGATCATTAATCGTGCGATAAGCATCCAACGCACTCGTTTCGCCACATTAACGACACAGACAGAACATGGGTCTTCCACCGAAAGGAAGAATACATCACGAGGAAGACAATACTTTCAAAACTACCGTGACTCGATTGAAGACGATGTCTTTTATTCTGAAGAAAGTCCACGTCGCTGCACTGGCGAGTCGTTCACGAGACGGACGTCGACTCGCCACGTTGCTGCCAGCTGAGGATGTCAATGACGTAGACCTCATGATCGGGGTGTTTTCTGCGTACGTGGGCCCGCACGTTTGATGTATGCTTCGTACGGAAAGGACAGTACGGGCAGTTGAATCGCGGCGATTGGCCGCACGCAAACTTGAGATGATGCTGGAGATTGTAACGCCAATTGAAGGATCCACCGCATCTCGGACAGTAAAACACCTGCTTGCAAGCCTGCCGTTGGGCCTTATGGACTGATCGATTCACGCCGCATCTGCGTCGTGCGCTCCTCGAAGAATACTTGCCTTCTGAAAAATGCAGACGTCCTATTGATTAGCCGCGTTAATCATCAGTTAACATTTACAACGCGAATGGACGACGAATTATTTCAAAAGAATAATTCGATACGAACGAAGGCATAGGAATTTACTAGATAAACAGCGACGCGAAAATATCAATGACTTAGCCGATAGATTTAAGAATAACAACAGAAAAGGTCTAAAAGATAAGTTAAAATCTATCGAGAATATTTAAATTAATTATGAAGTAAAGTCGATGTATAAACTAATTTTACGAACGCATAATCGCCTATATTTATTGTAGCGTAAAAAATAATAAAAAGTACAAAAAAAAATGATACAAAATAACGCAGTAGATTATAAAAGATCTATATATACATTGAGAAACTAGAGTATTTATAAATTATCGGATTATCTATCAATTCTTTTATATATAAATATAATAAGATATAAATATTTATATAAATTATATTGTATATGGCTAAATATATAAATACGCTTGTTCATAACGATTGCGGCACAAGAATATTGCTTTCCTTATCAATATTAAAAATGATGAAAGATGGAATTTTCATCGAAATTTCATGGAAGACAATAAAGAACAAGTTCATCACTATTTACATTGTAAATAAATATATGTTAAAACGTCATACAGAATATAATGCGCAATTTTACATCTTAAAAATATATACATATACGTAATTAAAATTGACATCTGATTAATTCACGAATTCTTCACTAAAATTATAAAAATGGAATATTTTTTTCTCAGAAAAAAATGTTCTATTTCATAAATAATTAATATCTGTTTAGAGAACATTTCTAAATATCCAAATTTTGAGCAACAATAAATCTATATTTTTAACTTCAGATAATGATTCTTTTAACAAAAATTGAAATATATACAATATCCAAATTTCAATGCAAGTCAATTAAATTTTTGCTGTAGAGAAATTTTTAATTTATTATCATTATTTTCTATTTGTTCTTCTGAAATCAAATGATTACAGTTGGAAGATTTGTATTAAATTCAACACATTTTACTTGTATTATAATAATTATTATAATTATTATAATAATAATTTACTTATATATATAATA